GCCGGGATGAGGCGGGTGGCAGGCAGAGCGCGGGGCGGGCGGGGCTCCGCTGAGCCGGGCTAGCTGCGGGCTTCAACGCTGGAGGCGTCTTACAGCTTTGCTCCCCAGAGGATTGCGCCCCTCACCCCTGGCGTGGGAGCGGAGAGAGTTGTAGTGATTAAACCCTGAGAGTTCTGTTACCCGCTGCACAGGTGGACGGACAGAGGATTTGGAAAAGACTTGAATTCCGAAAGCTTCAAAGGGCACCCTAGGCCAGGCAAGTCCGGCGCGGTGTCTGCATTTAGACCTTTCCTTAGCTTAACCAAAGAACGTGTTTTCACAATTGTGCTGGCAATGAAGGTTTTGCGGGAGGCTGGGTTCTCTTTGCCCTACTCTCCTTGAGGTAGCTACCTCGTTAACTTGGTTGAAGCTGGCTTGGCAGCACCCTGTCCACGTTGTCGCCTGTAGAAAGAGACATGAGAGGGCCAGAAGCTCCTTTTCAGATGATGTAATCCAGAAGTTGTCCAGATAGGTTCAGCACACCTCGCATGGACCTGAGCATCATCCCATGCTCTCCTGGTGCAATCATCGTGGGAGGGAAGCACCTCTCTTGGTAGCCCGCATTCCCTACCAAGACTCGACTGAGGTCGGAGCAGGAGAGAATTGTTATTGAGGAAGAGGCATCTCTGCTCTGGAGGACAGCCAAGAGAGCAATGTTCAGTGTCTGGGAGAGCAGGTTTTTAGAAATGGGTGTGGTCGGACCTGCAACAGCAGGGACTGGGCATAGGCCCTTTGGAATTGACTGGCAGGTGGGCTTACTTGGAGCTTTTGGGTGAGGGTTGTGTCATTAGAGAATGGTTTGAGGAATGAACAGGATGACTCATGACCTTCAGAATTTTTTCCTTTGGAATGGTACTGGGGACACCTTTTCATTGTTACATGCGTTTATGGTACCCAGTGGTGACTCCATGGAAGGGCCCATCGGAACTCCCAAAAATCTCAGAATACAGAGAAGGTGACTGGAGATTCCATTTTGTTTAACTGTCCTCTAAAGGAAGTCCTGGGGTAGAGGAGAACTTATTTCCTAAAAGGAGAGGGGAAAAGTGCTTATAGTTGAGAGAAGTTATTTCCTTCTTGCTTTATTCACTTCCTTTCTCAACTGATGTTCCTCTTCCTAGTTGGCAATACATGACTGTAAAAACCCTAGCTGGAATTCTGATATTAAAAGCAGGCAAAAAAGGCTCTGCCCAGGGTGAGGCAGGAATGTGGATTCCTGTGATGCTTAAGACTAGGATGAGAAGCAGAATCCCAGACAGCACAGATTCAGCAGATGATCAGGAAACATTGGTTTTTGTGGGAGAGAAAAAAAAACATCCTCAGACCAAAATGGTTATGTGCCCTCAAGGTTAGGGATATTTTACCTTTGGCTTAAAGTTCATTGCACAAAAGCTAAGGAGAAAGCTCATAAAGTCAGGTCAAGGTTAGGAATGGTAGCACCTTGAGGATGAGAAGGTAGCTCTCCAGGTATGAATCAGGGCCTATTCGCTGTAGGAGGGAAGTGAAAGCCAAGTGAAGCTTCAGACTTTTGATTTGTTGATCTGCTGTTCTCAGATGAATGAGTCCTACCTCTGACATCAACTCAAAATCCCTTTATTTGGTCTTACTTTTTGCTACTGAAAATGCAACATATCTTAACATTTTAAACAAAAAGTTTATTTTAAATAAAAATATAGTTTTATTTGTGTCTCTTCTGTTCTTCTTGTACATTTTATTATTTTATGCTGCTGGGAATTGAGCCTGAGCCCTTGAATATGCTGAGCACATGCTTTACCACATTGAGCTACCCACCCAGCCCCTGCACTAGTTTTATACAGAAGGGGTTATGTAATAAGAGCTGGTGGAAATGAGTTTCCCTGTAGGATGGTTCACAGAAGAAAGTTCTCAGGATTCCTGACATCATAGACATAGCCTGCCCACCACTCTCCTTTACTACCTAGTGATCTCCTCTAAACTTGCAGAGTTAAATGTGCCTGAGACCAGCAGCATCATAGTTCTGTTGCCTTCTTTAACATCTGCAGAGAGCAAGTTGGGGATGTGGAAAGTATGACTTTATTAAAGTAGCCTCATGTACAGAGATTTTAAGTGTGAATGTGTTAAACCAAGGGAAGAGAAGGTTCCAAGAGAGGTGAAACAGGAAATATCCCAGATCCACCCTAACAATAAAAACAAATGAATGAACAAATAAAATCTAAAACAAAATAACAGGTAGCAACAGTCTTTGGTAGACCTGCACTGTTGATATTAAAATTATCTACTGTGAAGGGGATGACATTTGCCGGAAGGACCCTGAGAGAGAGCAGAGCCTCAGGGACAGAGAAGCACAATTATTACATTTGTGACAACCAGTCCTAAGTGGGAGCAGGAAGAGCCAGTCTCCACACATCTGTTCTATGTATGCTTGCTGATGCTGACATCATATCCCCCCGCCACCCGTTCCCTTCTGAGCCTCCTCTTTCCTTATAGGTCATGAGCCTGGGCTGCTGCAGCTGGTGAATTACTACAGGGGGGCTGACAAACTGTGTCGCAAAGCTTCTTTAGTGAAGTAAGTGTCCTTTAAGACCTCTTTGTTCAATGTTCTACATAAATATTTTTAGTGTTCAGCCCTTGTGCAAAGCTATTGGATTATTTAAAGGGCAAAAATACTTTTACTATTTTAAAGGTCAACATATTGGTGCTGAAGCTTCCCCTGGGCTGCTTGGATCTCAGTTTAAAGGTTGCTGTGTTGTGCTTGATAAAGCTTGTCTTGTCTCCTAGGTGAGGCTTTGGAGGAGAGCCTGACTCAGGCTTTCTTGAGAAAGTGACTTCTTAGGGGAGAATTCTCCAGGTAAACTTCTCTGGAGAAGAGGGAAGCAGGGCAGGGGAGGAGCCAAGCAAAGAGGTAGTTCAGCTGAGGTCTTACCATGGAACTCCAGAGTGAATGGTACTCAGCATTGTCACATCCGGAAGCAAAGTGCCTGGGCTCCTGTGCTCAAGTACATTTAGCCATTGGCCATGGGAACAGTGGAGCATATAGCTTTCCAGACATTTCTAGGAGGGAGCTGATCCTTGGAGAAGGGTTCACATAAGCCCCAGGCAACCAACTCTCCCAGCAGCTCAGAAAGGATATCTGGGCAGGGTGTAACAGGATCTGCCTCATCACCCGTCTCTGAGCAGTTGGGTTATGGCCAGATATTACCAGAGTAGTATTATAAGTGAAAGGAGACAGCATTATGCAGTGATTAAGACCAGGGCCAGCAGCTTGCATTTTAGTCTCAGCCCTTCATCTCATTAGTCAGAACAAATCTCATCTTGCTAAGTCTCATACCTTCCTTATAAAGCAGTTGTGGAGACTAAACAAGGTGTCACTTAGGACGTGTATATAGGACGGTGGCCTGGTGCATTATACATATTTGACTCTGAGTCCTTAGTTTTCTTCTCTGTAAAATGATGATAATAACAACTTTAGGGTTGTGAGAATTATTTCAGCTTAACTTAATGCCTGTCTCACAGTTCACAATGTATAAGTGAAGGTTCTTATTACTGTGATTAATATTGTCATTGCTGTTATTGCTGTCATTTCAACAGGGAAACCTTGAGTATGGCATCTGCAGTCAGGGCTGTGGTAGGTCTCTGGGATTCTTCCCTGTACCTAGTAAACATTTTTGTATAGCCAAACAGATCATTTAGGTAGAAGACACTGGAAAATATGACTCAATGCAAAATGTTCCTTTTCCCATTAATGTTTCTTTCTGAGTACTACTTAGCTATAGGTTGAATACACACAGTAACATTTCCATCTTTTCAGACTTGCTAGCCCTGATAATTTACACACTCATTCCTATGATGGGTTTTCATGATTCAGCAGCAATTCCCAAAGTGAGGCTTCCTGAAGTCTATTACATGCTTTTGTGTTTATATTTCACTTGAATCAGGAGTAGATTGTTTACTCAAATTATTCATTTAATAATTTTATAAATGGTTTAATCTTTTTTGGTTTTTTTCTCTAAAGACAAGTAGAATTTTACTTTTATAAATAGGAAGCAGCGGATGGTGGTGAAAGTAATGCTGTACATAGTTGTATATTCAGCAGTTATAACAAGGCAAAGTAAGTGCTAGGCTGGACTCATGACCCATTTCTCAGTAGGAATCTGCAGCTCTGGACAGCACCACTCTGAATCCCAGTGCCTGTCTGTAAGATGGGGATAGGTGTGGGGACAGTACTTGCTCCTTGACTTTGGTGGCATGTGATCTGCGATGGCATCTTATAAATGGCAACATGACTTATGCAGGCTGAGACTTGTCCCTATCATGATAAGCTTCCTTCATTCTCTGAGTGTCTTGTGAGGGGCTGGAGTAAGTAATCCTGGGAGGCGACAGATCCCTTTGTCAGTTTGTCTCTCTCCCATGATTTAGTATGGCTTGCAGGAGCCAAAAGAGGAAGGAAATGTAATTGCTCTCATTTTGTAGAGCAGAATGCCAGCTCAGAAAGTCAGTTGTGCTGTCTAAGACCACAGTTGTTCATGTCGAACCAGGGCAGTTTGAATCTGTACCCATGAGACCCATGGGCTGTGTGACTTTGCATCCCTTCCAGGGTTTCCAAGAGCCTTGGTGGGGTTCTGTGCTGGGACCTGTGCAGCTTGCTCCTTACTCCTGACCCTTCAGGGAATTTCCAAAGTTCATCAAGGCCCAGGGCTAGTTTCAGAGCATGAGAGCTTTTCTTCTCCTGGCAGGTTGGAGGCTTTTGTTTCTTCTGGGTATTACTTAGTTATAGATGTGAGTGAACCTAAGTTTATGATTACTTTCCCATTGGGCTAATGCAAGGATAGAACAGACACAGGAGTCCCTGAAGGGCCTGGTTTTGATTCTGGGTGGGAAGTGAGGGCTTCCAGATGAAGGTCATCTTACAGACCAGTGCTGTCCATCAGAAATAGAATGCCAGCTACACAGGCCTTTTAAACTTTCTAGTAAATTAAGTACTCAGGAAAAGGTGCAGTTAAATTAATGATCTGTTTTATTAAACCATGGAAATCCAGAAGTGGGCTAGAGGTGTAGTGCAGTGGTAGAGCACTTGCCTAGCACGTGTGAGCACCTGGTTTTAATCCTCAGCATCATAAAAAGAAAAAACCTACCTAAAATGTTGTCATTTTGAAAATAATTTAATTAATGTTTTTAATGAAAAATAAGATATTTGATTTTTGAGTCTTCAAAATCTGATATGTATTTTAATTTTTAGCACATCTTAATTCAATAGATTTTTCACTGAAAACACTTGTTCTGAATTTAAATTTCATAAAAATATGGGATTGAGGCCTGATGTGGTGGTACACACCTGTAATTCCAGCACTTGGGAAGCTGAGACAGGAGGATTGCCCCGAGTTTGAGGCCAGCTGGGGCTACATAGTGAGCTCAAGGATAGCCTGAACTACACAGTAAGACCCTGTCTCAAAAAAAAAAAAAAAAATTGGGTTTGAAAAAGTAGATTTATATACCTAAGTCATTTCAACATACTTAAAAAGTTTTCGGTCAGTAGATTGAGTACCAAAAAGTCATTTTCCTTTAATATTCATATACATATTGACAAAATTTATTCGTCTTTTTTTAGAAGAAATGATCTGACTTTAGAGTAACAGCATATCATTTGTGGAACCCTGTCTGTCCAAGTTAAGTAAATTCACCAACTCTTGTGACAAGTCAGTATCATTAATATCAGATTCAAAGTGGTTGTGAGTATAATGAAAAGTAGCAAGTTTGTCAATATCAGCAGCATTCTTTAATTTAAAATTTTTTTTTATTTATTCAGTCAACTTTCACAATGCTGTCTTATAATTAAAATTGTCTACATCTTTTCACAACATATATATATATATTTTATATATAGATCTTATATTTTGAGTTGGGACATAAAATTATCATTCTGGTATAGGTAGATCATAAATAAATCTTCCCTATAAATTTAGCACGTTCATATGCAGTGTGGCTATAGGTGAGATAAAGTAAATAATGCTGTAATTTTATTTTTTGAATATTGAATTAAATAATGACTTATTGAGTGAAAATAATGATTTGGAAGCCATTCCTTTTTAAGAAAAATCTGAATTGGATTTACCAGTACAATAAATCTTTGTGAAACACTTTCATCTCACCATCAGTGAGTATTGGCAAAGAGCATTGTATCATTAAATTCATTGTCTTCTATTCCTTTCACTCATTCTGTGAACTGGTGAATCATTGTCGCATTTGCAAGTATATACTGAACCATTTCAACAACTATATCCATGATTCTTTTTATAAAGTCTGCTTCAGAAAACTGTGAAAATAAATGTTTTCAATATGTATCATACAGTGCAAGGAAGAAAATGTTTCAATGAAAGTAATGAAGTAAAAAAGAATGAAGTAAAAAAAAGGAAAGTCTATTAAAATCCCAGTGAATCCATATTTTAACTTGTTATAGTGAAACCCTGTCTGTTATAATAGAAAGTAACTTTTCACAGGTAGATGTAATTGCTTGACAGATGTGAAACATTAAAAAACACCTGCACCATAAGTTTGACACTTTTTAGGCTACAGTTTGACAATATTCTTTTATTTAACCATGCCCAAAGTAGAAATTGAACAGTATGTCATGTCACAACTTATGTAAAGATAAGGAAAAATATTTAGTATTTTTTCATATTTTGAATCAATCTTTGATATCATTAGATACAAAGGCTTTGTATTCTGTGACCCATTGTGGCTGAACTGAAGATTGTTCATTTTTTTGTTTGGTTTTCTTGGGGATACAAATATCTTTTTAGGGCTGGGGATGTAGCTCAGCAGCACCACTGAGCTAAATCCCTGTAGATAGATAGACAGATAGATATATATAGATAGATAGATAGATAGATAGATATCTTTTTAGCTCTTTGTTTTAAAATAATTTCTTTCACTATATTTTCATCTAATATGGCCATTAGAATACAGAATATGAAGATAGACATTGATATGCTGGTATTTGCACATAACATATTTGGGTTATTTTCATCTGCCTTTCTCTTTTCTTCCCTCTCTCCCTTATCTCTGACCCATCTCAAAAAGTTGAATTTCTGTCATCTCTCCTTTATTTTTTTTTTAGATTGTATATTTGTGAGGAACAATGTGATATTTAACATCTGAGACTGGCTTATTTTGTTTAACATGATGGTCTCCAATTCTATGCAAAGAATGTTTCATGTATGTGCATGTGTTCGTGTCTGTCTATTTAAGAATCTAAACCATTTTATAGTTGACTGAAGTTACAAGCTTAGATTCTATTAAAAATCTATTTGGGGGAAAATGTATTTAGGGGCTTGGGTGTAGCTTAGTGTTAGAGCGCTTGCCTAGCATGTGGGAGGCTCTGGATCTCATCCTTAGCACTGAAAAAAAAATAGTTTTAAAAACTTGGGTTAGATATTTGTGATTTCAGTCACTAATATCATTGATTGATTCTTTTTGACTGTTGAGGGGAAAATGCTTATCGAATTCATTTTTTATTTGCTCAGAATATCTCCTTTATAAAACAACTACTTTTTTGTTTTATTCTACAGTATCCTGGTACCGTTGCCATTCACTGTGAATTTGTGATAGATCTTCTTCCAGTTGTGTGTGTGTGTGTGTGTGTGTGTGTGTGTGTGTGTGTGTTTGTACTGTCCTGGTCATTATTGGTTTTAGCTTCTGTGTCCCTATTCAATTTCATGTCAGTGTTATGTTTTTATTTTCAAATTAAAAATTTGTCCATGCTTTTTTTAACTGGGAAAAATTTATATACCAATTATGATTTGCATAGTTGGTTCTCATTCTTTTTGTATCATAGACATATGATAATGTTTTTCAATGCACAGGCACTGTATTGTCTGAATCAGTGTATTGCCCCGAGTAGAACAGTGATGTTTGTGTGTGATACTAGAAATAACACATGGGCCTGACGCACACACAACAATACAACAAAATAAAATATCCTGTCAGATCAGTAAAGTGCTTAATAGAAAAATATTTCACAATGCATTAGTCTTTAAATTAAGATTAAATATAATTCACAGTTTATTCCCTGAGTCACACTGGTCACATTTCAAAGGGTCTGTATCTATATGTGACTAGTGACCACCATATGGGCAATGCAGGTACAGGGTTGAATACTGAGTTTAAAATTTATTTACTTGTAGTGTTTTCTTCCTTTGAGTTGAAGCAACCTTCAAAATCGATTTCCTTTAATGTTGTAATGACTTTATTTTAAATCTTAATTTAAATTTTCTTTTCATTATTTATGTTGTTTGTCCACAGACTGAGTTGAATCTTAACACAGGCTTATCATGAGCAGTTTTGTTCTAGACAGAAGAGAGACTGCAGCTTAGGGAAGAAGTTGCCTTTGGTAGATCCTCTCTAGGATCTGCTCCCTGGGGTAAGGGGAAGTTCAGAGTTAGGAGTTGGGAATCCAGAGCTTGCATCCAGGCTGGTACTTGCTCCCTGTATGATCTGGGAAGTTTACTTCTTGGTGACCTAGTTCTTCGTTTGTGAAATGGGATTCTAGTACCTCTAGCTCTGGGGTCTGATTGCAGAGTAGATGCAGTGGGAAGCTGTTGTGTTTTTTCAGTGCCTTGCCCAGGGTCTAACTTTAACTTATATGCTGTTTTGTTATTTTGGGAGCAGGAGATCAGTTTCATTAGTCCCACTTGTGCCTGTGTCCCATTAAGAAAAAAAACCTTCTTTATTCTGTCAGGCTGAGCTAAAAACAAATGAAAACTAAAAGTAGTCTTTGAATAATTCAGATTCCTAAGTATCCTTTTCTTTCCTAGAGAGTTGAGCCAAGATAGTGTTCATCTAAATATTCAAGTATTTTCCTCTGCTTTCTGCTTCATTTTTTTAGTGTGGGTCTGTCTCAGCTGCAACATATTTGTTGAAAAGATGTTGGCTGAGGATTATCAAGTTGTTTTCTTAGAGAGCTGAAGTTCTAGGTAATAAGCACCTAACTTAGTGTGTTACAGATCTGTCCAGAGAGGCTAAGAGCAAATAGAGGGATAAGGAAGATATTAGGCCATGTTTTATCTCCTTGAGAAGCTCTCAGGGAAAGTGGTTACCTCTCTGAATAGAGTGACAGCACATATAGTACTAAGAAGGGAGACTGACTGTCTGTCATCTGCCAGGCTAATCAAAACAAGCCCGGAACTGGCTGAGTCCTATACATGGTTCCCAGAGTCCTATGTGATTTATCCAACTAATCTCAAGACCCCAGTTGCTCCAGCACAGAATGGAATTCAGCCACCAGTCAGTAATTCAAGGACAGATGAAAGAGAATTCTTCCTGGCTTCTTATAACAAAAAGAAAGAGGATGGAGAAGGCAACATTTGGATTGCAAAGTCATCAGCTGGTGCCAAAGGTGAGTTGGCATTACTTTGTTTTTTCTGTGCCCTGTAGGCTTCTGTTGAGCTTTGTTCTGTGGCACATTAGATTTTAATGACATGCTTAGATGAGTGGCTCTATTCTATTATGTAAATTGGAGATAGAGAGCATGTGTAGTGTTAAATGTCCCACTATGTAGTGATGCCTTCTGGATGTTTGTTTCCTTTAAGCACTGGATCTTTCCTTTAAGCTCTGGTTCCAAGAGCACCCTCTCTATCTGTAAGAGGCATTGCAAACCTAATGTGTCCAATACTCCTCTCTTCATTTCCTCCCAATTTTGCCCACCTCAGCCTGCCCCTCTTTCATTCTTCCTATTTAGCATATGATCCCACTCTTTTCCCAGGCTCTGAAGCCCCAACATTCTTGACAGCTCTTTACAGTCTATGCCTAATGCTTTAACAAGTCCTTCTAGTGTTACTTCAAAATATACTCTTGAATTAGACTCTTATCTTGCTGTTTCTACTGCTCCCACTTTAAATCAAAGCCACCATTCTCTCTAGTCTGTGTAATTACAGAGCCTGCTCTCAGCCAGTTCTCCTCCCAGACAGAGTGATGTCTTAAAAACATAAATCTGATCATGTTACTTCCTGCCTACAGCTTACCAGCTGGCTTCCTAATGCAATTAGAATAACTCCAGATTCCTGATGTAGCCTACCCATTGGGCGTTTCCTCATATCCTTGATCTCATCTCCTTCTATTCTTGGCCCTGCTCATTGTGCTGTAGCCACAGACTGACTGCTTTATGTCCCTCAAATATTCTAAATTTGTCTCTACCTGGAATGTGCTTTCATGGGTTCTCAGTGCAGATGGGGCCTTATAGGAGAAGGCTTTTTTTCCTCTAAGATAGCCTTGATATCATTGCTTTCTGTCCCTTCACCCTGCTTTATTTTTCCTTCTTGACTAAATCTCTTCCTAGGTCTATATTACATAGCTGTCCATCTCCCCAGTTGTACTGTAAGTGCCATATAAACACAGACTTATTTGTCCCTGAGTTTTCCTTTTAGGCACTCAGTAAATATGTGTTGAATGATTGCATAGAAGGAGTGAAGTTTATAATAACTCAAGCCTAAAATAGAGGCAGTCCCCAATGTAATGAGCACATAAGAAATTTCTCTCTATAACTACCATCATATGCTCTTTTTAAAACTATTTCATTTTGAACTTACTTCTTTTGTTGCCTTGGAAGACCATCTGGCCATAGGTCCTCATTTCTATCCCTGGTCCAGTAGACCTCACCTTATTTTTCACCAACCATGAGACAGGAGGGCATCACCTGGATCTCCTGAAAGTGGGAGAGTTGGACTCTTGCCACAAGCCAGGTACCTCACTTACTTCTCTTTTCCCCTCTTGTGACTTTTCTTAAGTACTGTCCCCTTAGTTTTGTTCTGATGGTAAATGAGGGACTTGGAAGAGTAAGTGGACATCTGTGGTGTTCTAGATCCCTCTGTGGATTTGAGTTGGGGTCGGAATAGCCTTTTTGATAACCCTGGTCCCTGACCCTCATCAAGACAACATGTAGAGGGACACCAAGCAGTGGGGAAACAGAAACAGAAAAGAAAATGTCAAACAAAGAATTATTGCTTTAAGCATTGAGGAAATAAGTGATACATATTAGCTTTGTTTGGGAACTACAAAAAGAAGCCAATAGGATGAATGAGTGGCTTTTGTTCTTGTTAAACAAATGCTTGGTATAATTGGATGAATCTTCAAATGATACCCAGTATCAGCTGCAGGGTTCCACCTCCGCCACTCATCTGTGACCTGAGACACCTTTATCTCTCACCTGTAGTGCTGCTCCCTGTCCTGCTCTGGGCTGTTCTCTACAGTTTAAACAATGCAGTAGACAGAGATCCTGTTGAAGCGCAGCCAGACTATGTCACATTTGTGCTCAGCATGATCTCTCCCATGCCAGTCCAGCAGCTGGCAAAGGTTCAGTATATGTGCTGAGTGAATTATGAATGAGTGTTGGAGATACAGGAATAAAAGAGAGAGACATAGTCATGTGCTCTTGTGGAGCCTATGGTCTAGTCAGAAAGAAGGCTAACAATGTTTCTATTTCCAGAAACACTAAAAGTTCAAATGGGAACTGGGACACAGGAGATAAAAAAGTGGTTACTTTGAAGCTTCTTAAGGATTCCTCTCCAAAATTCCTTCATAATTTCTCCATGTATAGTGAGTGAAGATATGAACAAACAAATGATATAGGAAGCAGAGTTAATAAACCCATGGAAACATGCTACACAGAGGCTAAAACTTCCTAAATAACTTTGATTTTTCTGTCATTGTACAGCTACAAAACAAGAAAACAAAAAGCACTAGTGATGTTGTTGCTGTTTGTTGGGAACTGCACTCCTAGTGACATTCACAATCTTTTGAAAAAGCAATAGAGTGACACATGAGAGTCATATAGGACTCATATCATTTGGCCTAGTAGTTTCACTCCTGAAAATTTTCTACAAAGAAATATTTTTAAAAAATAAATGATCCACAACAAATATATTTACTCCATTATCTGTAATTGCATAATATTATTTAGAAACAACCCCATTGTCCAGCAAGTAGTAAAGAAATGTGTAACTTTTTTGACTTCCACACAATAGGGTATTTTCATCCATTAACATAATTGTGACATTAATATAAAAAAAAGAGAAAAAATAACTATATAAAGTGAAAAAAGAACATGCAATAAGTTTCCTGTGATTGAAACAGGCTTTTCTAATATTAAAAAATAAAAACAATTATGTCAGGAAATAAGATGATGCTTAACTTTTCCATTTCCCTTTAATGTTACGTGTTTAAATAATAACAGTTTTTTAAAGCTATAGAAATATATCTGTCTCTTTATTTTTTCCTCACTATTTTTGCAGCCTACTAGCATTAGGCATATTATTTTTTAGTAAGAAATAATTTTACATAAGGAAAATAAGGTTGGCACATGGGGAGGGAGAAGGGTTAGGTGATGTAGAGCAAGGCCTCAGTAGGTGATGGAGGTAGTTTCAGGACACGAGAGGGAAAGAGAGCGTTAGGATGATCATTCTAAAAGTTGGTTCAAGGTGGTGCAGAGAAGAGGTTGAAGTTTGAATTTAAGAACTGGCAACCGGAAATAAAGAGTAACCAGAAAATCTGAGTGTGGTTCTTAGGAAGTACGAAACAAAATGAGTTGTATGTAGCGAAAAAGAAAGGCGCTTTTCCGTTGTGGTTTCTTGTTCAAGAGCCTAACCAAGTGGTGAAACAAATGGTACAAACAGGGTAGATGAGAAAGAGGTTGATTTTAAGGAAAGATGGATCATTAAATTAACAAACTGAATTGAATTCACTTGCACTGAAAATGTGAGACCTATGTTGAGATAAGCTATAAGTCCAAAGCGTAAGTAAAAGGGGCTCAGAACTGAAATGTGAGCTTCACAGTGTTACAGGATAGATAACATACAAAAACTGAATTTCTTTATATTGACAATGACATGTGGGAACCTAGATTAACCACTTACTAGTCCAATTATTTAAGTATAAGATGACCAAAAATTGCATATTTTTCATTAATTTTTATTAGATAATATAGCAGGAAATATAAAAATGACAATTTTATCAAATTTGTTCACTACAAGAATTGACTGGCTAAAATGACACCTGCCCAAACAGCGCTCGAGATAGTACATAAACGAACACACTGCCAGAGTGATGATTGGGGTAAACTGGTAAGTGGTTAAAGCAGTAGCACTTATAGTCACCTCAGAGAAAATGAGATGCTTATGTATAAACCTAATAAAATATGTACAAGCTCTGAATGCTGAAACTTACAAAATGATCATGAAAGAAGTCAAAGAGCACCTTTAAAAATGGATAGATATACCATGTTCACGTATTGCAGAACTCAAGAGTAGAGATGTCAGCCTATCTCATACTAGTCTGTAGTTTAACATAATTCCAATCAAGATCATAACAGCATTGAATTAAAAATATATGTCCCCACAAATACTTCTATGTGAATCTTTATAGCATTTTTCCACTGCAGACAACTCAGATGTCCAGATAACAAATTAATAAAACCGTGGAATAGCCATACAGTGGAATAGTATTCAACCATAAAAAGGAGGAAAGTACCAGTACATGCTGCAACATGAATGAGCTCTAAAAACTTTGTGCTAGTGAAATTAGCCATACACAATGGCCATGCACTCTATGATATATGACTTACATGAAATTTCCAGAAGAGGCAGTGCTTAGAGACAGAAAGTAGATTGATAATTGGCAGAGACTGAAGTGAACAGGGCACAAACAGTGACTTGTAATGGGTACAGAACTTTGAGGAGGGGTTGGTGAGAATGTTCTAAAATCAGATTTTACCAATGGTTGCAAAACTCAGGAATATACATGAAACCATTGAATTATACACTTTAAAAGGGCACACTTATTGGGCCAGGAATTTAGCTCAGTGGTTCTGCTGTCTGTCTCACAAGTGCAAGGTCCCGAGTTCGATCCCCAGTACCAAAAAAAGAGGTGGGGGGCGAACTTTATGATGTGTTGTATATCTGTCAAGTGTACCTTGGTTCCACTTATTTAATGTTAGTAGAAATTTTGAACATATCTAATTTTTTCCTGTTAAGATGCTGCAAAGAACATTTGTTTTTATTCCCTAACCTTCCTGATATTTCTGTAAGATACAATGTTAGAAATGGATTCATTGGGGGCCAGAGATTTAGCTTGGTGGTGCCACTGCCTGCCTCTCAGGTGGAGGGACCCAATATAATCTTTATTGCAGCCAGTGACTGATAGTGGAATGGTGTTTCGTTAAAGTGCTTGGACTATTTGAATGCCAGTACAACTAGCATTTCGTGGTTGCAGCTCACTAAGTTAGTGTTCTGTGTGAAGAAAGAGTCTGCTGGATACCCTGGGTGCAGCTGTAGGTAGAGGGGAGAGTGTGAGTGATTGCAGGAGGGCAGAGAAGGAGAAAGAAGAGTAAGCATGTCACTGAGAGAGCTTTCTGTGGGTGTTTTGTTTTGTTGTGCCTTCTGTGTTTTCTTTCTGACTTTGTGGACAGCTTTTCCTTGTGGGATGAACTGGACTACTTCTGTTTTGTTTTTGTTCTATTAGGCGAAGGCATCCTCATCTCCTCAGAGTCATCAGAGCTTCTGGATTTCATAGACAACCAGGGCCAGGTGCACGTGATCCAGAAATACCTTGAGCACCCTCTGCTTCTGGAGCCAGGGCACCGCAAGTTTGACATTCGGTAAGTCTTCCCTGTCTGTGACTTTTGTCCTTGTTTGTCTGAAAAGAATGTAATAGGAGGTGGTGGAAAGTGGGATATAAATGTGAGAAAGTATTTGCCAGTTTCTTAAAATTGAGTGGCGCTAAGTGGATCTGCACTTTTGTACCCAACTCTCTGTTTTTATTTCATTCTTTCTGCTTTCTGGGAAGTTTTACTAATATTATCTATCCTTTTTATGCATATAATATTTGTACACATATGTATATATATATTTGCATATATTTTATATATACACGCACACACATATATGAAGATAAAATGCAATTAAATGACTTTTATGGAAATAGCTTGTGGCTCCACAGGGAGAATGTACATAAATGGGGCTTACTGATGGAAGAAGCATATAATTCAGATGTTGCATGACCCAGCCAGATAATCTACTCACTTTGTTGTGTCCTCCTTTTTATAAATTTCCTCAGATCTCTGCATGTTAAGTTTCTGAGCCAAAGGCCTGCCGTAGAGAAAGAGGTTGTGTGGTGCTTTCTACAGCTAGCCAGCCCTCTTCCCTGCTTGCCTTTGCCCTTGCTGCCATCTCCTCATTGGGAATCATTGTCTTCTTGATCTCATTCTGAATAACTTGATATCACTCATAACAAATTACTGCTTCTTCAACATCAGTCCTGTGTCAGATGGCTTCAAGACATTCTTCCTCTTGATATATGAAAGCACAAACATGGCCAATGGAGGTTTTACAGGTTAACCCCAAAACCCATCCAGTCTCTTCAAAATGCTGGGTTTTTAAAAATGAATTTAAGTTTCCCTGTCATTTATGGTAAAATGCTTTGTTTGCTTCTTTACAGTGATAATCCCCTATTTTTGGCTAACTCAGAGTTTGCAGGATATAATTTTAGAACCTATCTTCTTCCTCTGCTTCCCTTACCTCCCCTCTCCTCAAAATATTCAATAGATAGACGGGGGTAAAAGGCGGACAGATTATAGAAACCTGAGCACAATGGTGTTTTCATTGAATTGCAGAAGCTGGGTCTTGGTGGACCATCAGTATAATATCTACCTCTATAGAGAGGGTGTTCTCCGAACTGCTTCAGAACCGTATCATGTGGATAATTTCCAAGACAAGACCTGCCACTTGACCAATCACTGCATTCAAAAGGAGTACTCAAAGAACTATGGAAAGTATGAGGAAGGAAATGAAATGTTTTTTGAGGAGTTCAATCAGTACTTAATGAGTGCTTTGAACATTACCTTGGAAGCTAGTATCTTACAACAAATCAAGCATATAATAAGGTAACCTAATTGTTCCTTTTTCTGCTTTACGTGTTTCTTCTTGAAGGAGCTTTGTTTATGCCTTTCTAGGAATCATTCCACTTAAATTTTCTAATTTTGGGGCAAAAATTATTTGTGATAATCCTTTATTTTCATTTTAGTATCTGTAGGATTTGTAATGAGGTCACTTCTTTCATTTCTGGTATCAAAATTTATATCTTATTTCTGTTTTTCTTGGTTAGATTGGCTGTGGATTATTAAAATATTTTTTAACAACTGGCTTTTGGTTTTATTGATTTTTTTTTTTTTTTTGGTACTGGGGATTGAACTCGGGTCCTTGTGCTTGCAAGGCAGGCCACCGAACCGCTGAGCTAAATCCCTAGCCCTTGGTTTTACTGATTTTTCAGACTCCCAGAATGCTGAGATTATGGGCATGTGCCACCACCCCTCCTGAGAATTTTAAAATAAAATATAAAATGTATAGTATACAGTTTAGTGAGTTTTCATTATATGTGCACTTACTTGACTATGATGCAACTCAAAATATAAAATATTTACAGCCAGGTGTGTGGTGGTGCATGCCAGTAATCCCAGCACTCTGAGAGGCTGAGGCAGGAGAATCCCAAATTCAATCCCAGCCTGGCCAGCTTAGCAATTTAGTGAGACTTTGCCTCAAAATAAAAAATAAAAAAGGGCTGTGGATGTACTTCAGTATAAAGGCCCTGTACCACTAACACCAAAAAGCAAAACAAAACACCGTACCCTGAAGACTCCTTTGAACCCTCTCAAAATATGTTTCCTGCCAAAGACAGATAGTCTTTTTTTCTCAAAGACAGATACTCTTTGACTTTTATGAGTATAGATTCCTCTTTGCGTTCCATCATTATGTAAATGGAATTATACCACAGTTCCTGTTTTGTATTCAGCTTTTTTTTTTACATTGTGTGTGGCATTCATTCGTCATATTGCACAGAGCAGTAGTTTGTCCTTTGTATGGCTTTGTAATACTCCACCGTGTGAACATTCCAGAGCTTACCTCTATATCTGATGAACATCTGGGGTTTATTTCCAATAGTTTAGACCTATAATGTATGGCATTGTTATGTGTCGAATGTCATGTTGTTCCACAGGATATGTTGTTGGCCTAAGACTATTTATGCAGGAGACTGTCCCTGCCCACAGCACTGTAGGAACTCTTGTTATTAATCAGGCTGTGAGAGATGCTGTCCCTGGGACCCCATGCTTTCCACTCATCTGTGTATGTGCTGTGTTGTTGGCATTGTGTCACAGTGACCAAAACTTCTTTAATGTGTTCTTACATGGAGTCCAGTAGCATCACTCAGGGCTTGAAGCCTTTCCTTGGTGATTGTTGATGGCCCAGGCAACATCACATAAAGTGGTTAGGTGACAGGTCTGCAGGAAGTGCGACTCACCCCTGCTCACTGGCCAGTGCAGGAGAGGTTGCTCCTCTGGAGCTATAAATGCCTCTCACCATGCTCAGCCTTCCTTCTTTTCCTGCCAGCCTCCCCCTAACTCTCCACTCTAGACAACAAAGATGTTCTGTTGACATCTCTAAAGAGGAAAAAAGTCCTGTACACTGAGTTATTTATCTTGCATTTTCAATAGATAGAAAATAATATTCAGTGCTGTTCTAGTCATGGTTGTTCCTTTATGTATCAGAGTGTGATGTTGCTTTCACTTTTATCCCTTTCTTTTCCTGCTCTCTCTCAAACTTTTCTTTTTTTTTCTTTTTATTGAGGTTATTGGTACAATCTAGGTATACAATACAGTTACATTCATCATTGGGATTCTCTACCTTTACATAATAGGTCTTGTTTCTCATTTTTCTCCTTGTCCCTGCCCTCCCTCCACCCCCTCC